CCTCCGCCGGTTCCACACACCCTGGTGACTGAGGAGTCAGGCCTTCTGATCTCACTGGCTCCGAAGACCAGCAGTTGGAGTTTCAACGCGGAAACAACGTCTGGCCACAGAGCAAAGCCGCCTGACAGCAAGGATGAAACAGACCAGAGAATGGAAAACACCCACTTGCGGGGCCATGACCTGCAGCCACCTGTCAGTGCCGGCTCCTGTGATGTAATGATGCTGAACAGACTGTGGAGAAAGGCCTGGTGATCTCCTCCCCAAATCAGTCAACGAGAGCCCTCCAGGCCCAGTGGCCTGAGCTCCAGCCAGCCACGGGGGTGCCACAGGACCAGGCTGTGTTTCATTCTGCTGCGCGTGGGTCACCATGAGTCACAGGCCACATGACGACAGCTGACAGCAGCAGCAGACTTGCCCTGCGTGGTGTGCTAGTCCCCACAGGCCCCCACCTGACAGGGAGTCCAGCCTTGGCATTCCTAATGGGAGCCTGACAGGGGCAAGCGAGAGAGCTCATGGGCATGCACACAGGCAGCCTCACAGGGGAGGGGCCACCCAGAGCCCATCCCAGATGAGTGGGGGGCCTGGCCAGTGGTTCACACCACCGTCCCCGCTGTGCCTCTGGACAGGATGCCCCACCCAGGCCCGACACATGGCCACTGGAGCTCATGGAATGTGCACCACTTCCCCCAGCCCCCAGAGGGCAGGCTGGTGTACAATGTCTTCCCCACGGGCCTTGTCCACCCAGCTCAGGGCCCCGCTCTCCTTACGTGCCTTGGCCAAGTAGCTTCACGCTCTTTGTTCTTCCTGTTCCATGGATCTAGGGCCCAGGCTGGCCCCTCCCTCCTGTCCTCATCGCCTCAATTGTAGTCTAAGGAATATACTGATTTTCCACTTAGTAATTTACAACCACATTCTCTTTCTGCCCACCCTGGGATGGTCACTAGGATCGTTCCGGACCAAAGTGAAGTATCCCAAAGTGTTGTGCTCCACATTTCCAGGCCCCCTCCTGGGACACACCGTTAGCTCATTCATCACAGCCCATGTGTCTGGGTTTGGTTAATCTAAGGCTCAAAGCAAAATAGTTGACTGTCTCCCAGTTCTTGAGGGAGAGGCACCTTGCTGTCACCTCCAGGTCCCGCCACTTATAGCAATAAGCTGTCATCAGTGACAAAGCCATCGTTGTAAACATGGCATGGTCCAGGTACCTGATCTTCTCTCGCTTCATGAAGGGGAGAGGGGTGTCCCTATAGCATCAGCCCAAGACAGTCCTTTGAAGCAGAGGTCAGACCTGCCCCCTCTTCAACCAGCCCTCCCTCCCACCATACTTTCACTCGACTGCTGGGGTTGGTCAGACAGAACTCACAGACAATACTCATGACTCCAGGGCCTTATCAGGGCAGTGGAGCCCGGGTGGCATGGTGGTTATGCATTAGGCTCCCAACTGCAAGGTCAGTAGTTTAAAAACACCAGCTATTCCTTGGGTGAAAGACAAGGCTTTCTACTTCAGTAAAGAATGCAGTCTTACAAACTCATAGGAGCAGTATGAGTTGGCATTGAGCTTGTTGGTTTTTTGGTATTAGGGAAGTAACCAGTTACAATGCAGGACCAGAAATCACTCAGAATACAGCTCTTTGACCAGGACAGTCTCAGCCACACCCACCCACCGGCAAGCCTCTCTCTGGCTCTGAGTCTCCTGGTCTCTCAGTCCCCTTGGGCCAGCCAGGTCTCCGGCCTGCTCAAGCAAGTGTTACAAAGCTCTTGAGCTCTGCCATTAAGTGCTCTGAGGCACTCCACTCTGCCAGCAAACCTCTTGCTCAAAGGCATTCAGCTCTCTTGCTGCATCTCCTGCTGGTCTCCTGATCCCACTGCTGCCTGCTGTCTCTGGTGTGACAGCTCTCTCTGTCTCCCGGGTCTCGGAAGTTCTAGTGCAAGGAATCCAAGCCAAAGGGTGCACACTGCTACCACCTTGTCTTTTTAAAAAGCGTTTTATTGTGAATTTGGTAAAAGCTTTACAGAGCAGATCATCAGCTTTACATTCAACAGTTCATATACTTGTTTCCTCCTACCTCTTCCTCTTGGTGGGGTTAAGGTCTTCCCTTCCCACCTCTGGGATGCCATATTTTAAGCCTCATTGGGTGGAAAAACTGACCAATGATTTTGTGAGGATTCTAGATGCCATGTTTGCTTGGTTCCACCCCACATGGGTTCCATGCACCTTATAGACATTATTAGCAAGCTGTCCAATCCCTTTGTGGGCCACTAGCACCTTATTTGCTAGTCCCACCCCATGATTTGGTGGGGTTTACCAGATCATGAAGAACAAGGCTCTCAAAAATCAGCCATCACACCACATAGTATATCCCGTATCTTCTATTTTGAAGGCAAAGAACCATCTTTAAATTTTAGAAGTTTCTATCCAAAATGATTAAAATCAGTTTTAAAAGAATCGCTTAAAAGTAACTCTCAACCCTGTGAACCCTGCTTCTGTAAAGTGTCCAGCAAGCAAAGATTCACCCCCGGGCCTCTTCTTTCCTTTCTAGATCGTGCCAAAGTCGTGAGGGGCCTGCCAGACGTGGCCACGATTATGGAGGACAAGGTACAGACCCTTCTGTTTCCTTCTGTGTCGATCACAGAGCATGAGCCAGGTAGCATTCTGGATTTAAGAGCCCTCAAAGTGACCAGTTGGCTAAAGGAGCTGGACCTTCCATTTCTGGCCAAAAGTGACCATCCCTGGCTGACTGTAGGTAGAACCTGGGAAAGACCCTGAGCCTGAAACAGCCTGAGGCAGCCCCTCACAGGTCCTTGCCTCAGCTCTGCCCCTGTCACACGAGATGCCCCTGGGCATCATTTCTGCCTCCGAACTTCAGTTTCCACAGCGCTTGGAAGGGATGGCCCCTGAAAGCCCACTCTGGCCTGAAATTCTACGTTCTAGAAAGTGCCTGCTGACACATCTGTATGGTGGTTCCTTTGCACCAGGCAAGCTCCCATACAGGGTGCATATTCAGCTTATTTAGTCATCAAGACTCAAACCCAAAATAACTCCCTAAAGTTCTCTGAAAACCTCAGAGTAGTTTTGCCTTGAGCATCATGCCCTTTTCAGAGCTCTCTGCAGGGGCGCAGTGATGACAGCCTCTCGAAAGGTTAGACGGGAACAGTGGGGGCAACGAGGCAATGCCAACGAAAGGGGACGGCTCAGAAAAAGGGGCTGAGGGGTGGCACAACGCGGCGAGTGTCATCAATGTCACTAAGTGGTTCCTGTAAAAACTGATGTACAGATGGGCGTCTGTTCTCAGCAGAAAAATGTTGTTTTCAGTCATCAAGGCAACCACATGAAATGGGATGATTACAAGCCTCGGGTTAAAGCTGAGAAAACTGAGGTCCAGAGAGGCTAACCACCTTGCCTGAGGCCACCCAGTCAGAGCTGAGATTCACACCTACAACCTCTGACCATGACACTATGCATTAGACCTGGCCCTAGATGTTTCTAACTCAATTTGTAGAATCTTTTTATTAAAGCAATAGGACCTTAAGGGCATAGCAAAATCATAATGATGGATATCTTAAAAACAATAATTCCACGGTAAGTAATGACTAAAGCAATAATGGCTTGAAATTCTAGCCAGTCAAATATATATATATATTTGGTGGAAGGGCTGGGATGGGGGGCGTGGAGCTAATAGAAGGGCTCTCCTTAAATGTGACCGCTTTGTTGGTTACAATGTAATGAATTTATCACCAGGAGCAGCTTGTCCTGGGGACTTTCTGGGGGAAGGCAGGTGAATGCCGGTGACTGTGACCCCAGAGAAACAGGGTTCTTCCCATCCTTCCTTTGAACAGACGCTGTGCCTGACTTGCGTCATCTCAGGCGACCCCGCCCCTGAAATCTCTTGGCTGAAGAATGACCAGCCTGTGGCCTTCCATGACCGTTACCGCATGGAGGTAAAGGGGACAGAGGTCACCATCACCATCGAAATGGTCAAAAGTGAGGACAGCGGGCGCTACGGTGTCTTCGTCAAGAACAAATATGGCTCTGAGACCGGCCAGGTCACCATCAGCGTCTTCAAGCATGGGGAGGAGCCCAACGAGCTGAAGAAGATGTGATGGGCGCGTTCAGGGGCAGCCTGACATCCAGTCTGCATGGACCAGGCGGGCCCAGGCCACAGGAGTAAGAATGAGGAGAGAGAAGATAGGGTGGAACCCAGAATGGGGGGGTGGAGGTGGAACAGATGGGCCAGCGTGGGGCAGCCAAGACCTTGCTGGGGGGGCCCGGAGAGGCATCGGAGATAGCGAGACAAGCCCTGGACTTGGAGGAGACCTATGTCCAAGGATTCCCTTCTGAACTTGCCATGAGCCTTTATTTTCCTGTCTTTCACGTGGGAATCCCTAATCCCACAGACCGTTGGGAAAGCTCCCTGTCAGCCACAGAGAAGTGGTCCTCAGATGAAGGCCATTGTGCTGGACATTGGGAAGGCCAATTTGCTGGACATTTCTGTCACCACTGAGACATTCTACTGTCATACCTTAGTAGAGCCCAGGGATGCTGCCAAATAGCCTACAATGCTCAGGACAGCTCCCCACGACAGAGAAGTGTGCGATCCCAAAGGCCGATTTAGTGCTGCGGCTGAGAACTCCACTGTGAGCTGGCCCAAGGCAGCACCCCTCTTTCCGGGCGCATTCTCAGTCCACTGAAGTCCCACCAACATTTGTTGGAAATCTTGCACGTGCCAGGCTGAAGGTGGCACGGGGAATGCAGCTACATAAGA